ACGGGCGGGTGAAGATTGTGGACGCCAAAGACAGCAGGTCATGAAAATAGGGACCCCCCCAAAAAAAACAAGAGAGGGGAAAAACAAGGAGAGGCGTTCCTTTGGGTTTTGCTGTCAAAACCACACCCAAATGTATGTGTCTACGGCTGGAATGCCAAGGGCTTGGATCCCCTCAAAGGGGAACCCGCGATTTAGTATGGGCCTGGTATCGATCACGTGGAGCCACCAAGATCCAAGAGCGCCCCAGCCTTTTCCAGTTGCCTTGCATGGTGCCTTCCATGGCTAGGGCCAAAGCCCTTCTCAGGTGATCTCCAACTCTTTGGATGTTCCTGAGTGCGCCTTTTTGTTTAGGGAACCCCCAAGAATGCTGGCTTTCTTCTGGTTTCCTTGTCGAACCAACCCCGCAAAGGTGCCCAAAACCGACAGATCCAGGAGATCCAGCAGAGGCCCTTCGGCGCGGATGGGCTTTCAGGCAGCAGCCGCCCACTGCCGGACCCGAAGCTGGGCGAAGTGAAGATTGGCTCCGGGTCCAGTTGGCTGTGGTTGTCAAAACTGTGTTGGGATCCCTTTTGGGGTAGGTGAATTCACCAACCATTTTAGAACCTATTTTGGGATTGGGAGGTTCAAAGGGGGTGAGATTTGGATTTTGACCCATGGCCATTTGAATACCAGGTTTTGATGATGACTCAGATAATTCTAGGGTAGGGGGCGGTCTGAACCACGAAGGGGAGCGACCGCCCAAAGTTTGAATTTTGATTGGCGATTCATTGACTCTCTCTCTTTCTATCTCCTTCTCTCTCTCTCTCTCTTTCTATCTCTTTCTCCCTCTCTCTCTCTCTCCTTCTCTCTCTTTCTCTGTCTCTTTCTTTCTTATTCTCTATTTCCACTGTTTTTCTCTCTTTTTCCTGCTCTTTCTTTCTTTCTTTCTTTCTTTCTTTCTTTCTTTCTTTCTTTCTTTCTTTCTTTCTTTCTTTCTTTCTTTGTTGCTTTCTCTCTCTCTCTCTCTGTCTCTGTCTCTGTCTCTGTGTCTTTCTCCTCTCAGGCCGATTTCTGTATGTGTGTGGGGCACTGGGCGGTACTCACTGGGAGGGACGCGGGGGGCGGGAAAAAAAGCACTTACACATTTTCCATACGAAAACAACTAGAGGGATTCCAAATCCCCCCCCCCCCTCACCCCCCTACATTCTTTGCGCATCCTTTCGCCGTGGCTGACTCAGGCAGGCGCCGTTCCAGGCGGGGCCCCGCACTTACACCTGGCACCAGCAGCTGGCGAACCCCAGCGCGGAGGAAGCCTCTGCTTGCCCTCAGGCGGTGGACGTGCGCTGCAAGAGCCCGGTGTGGCCCGGAGAGATTGGAGCCCCGAAGTTTAGGACCAATGCGATCGCGTCAATTGGCTGTTCTCCTTAGCCTTTTGGTCAAAAGCCTCCAGGCTTGGCGTAGTCCTATCAACGTACCAGGAATCAAGGCTACGACAACCTGGGTCAATGTCTAGCATGTGACGGCTCCCGAGAAAAGAAGAAACATGAAGGGGAATCCTCCAGTTTCCAAAGTACAACACCCTGGGTCAATGTCTGGTATCATTTGACAACTCCCTGTTACCCGATACAGAAAAGGAAGGGAAACGTTCAAACACTCCTCGTTTAGTGGACTTTTGAACCCAGGGTCAACATGATGTTTGTATCTTAATTTGTTCACTTCTGGAGTAGTTTGTATTCTTGATTTGTTCTTAATTCTTCATTTTGTTCACTTCAATAGCTTGTATTCTTAATATGTTTGCCAATGTTCAATAGCTTTCCTGAGAGCCAAGGTGGATGACCGTGGATGGCAAGGAGGTGGGCGAGGGCGTGCCCTTGCCGGAGATCGAGGAGTGCTTCCAGTTCTGATCAACGGCCCGGCTCTGCGCGAAGAAAAAGGAGATCGCAACCAGCCCGAACCCCCCACCAAAACCCCTTAGAAATATAAGTAGATTCTTCTTGCTTTCGGTTGTCTTGGTTGCTCACTCCCAGCGGCTGCTTGTTGTGTTTTTTTCTTGGGCTTTGTCCCGGAATTATCCCCAGGATTCAATTGTCCAATCCTCGCCTTATGGTGGGGCAGCTTCCTCCTTAGAATATCTTGAAAAGAATATGGCATGACTACATACGCGTACCATATCGCGCCGAACTAGTTCATTTTGATCAAACAGCATTAGATCTTATCATTGTCCTTTTTTTCTCAATATCAAGTTCCCCTTACTTGGTGGTGGTTGACCCCTGGTTCTTGCAGAAGGTACAGAGAGCCCCCAAGCCTGCAAGCCACCAATCCAAACCACCAACCAGAGCCTGGCTGAGCACAACGAGACCGCTTGGTTTGGGGATGCCGTGCCCAACGCAAATTTCCGAGGGGCGGAAGTCGCCGGCCGCGGCCGGCCGGAGGAAGAGTTTGGCAGGCGAACCTGCCGTCGAAGCATAAAATCATTTGAAGGCAGAAGATTGAAACGCCCAGATATCGCTTCGGCAGGCCAATTCGAGGCGATGTGTTTCTCGTTTGGTGGGCTTGTCCCCTACTAGAACCAAGGCTGGCCATTTGAAAGGGGATCCTTCCAGCTGGGTCGATGGGGATGGTAGCAAGGCCACAACACGACCAATTTCCGGAGAGGATCTAGTTCTTGATGGCCCTAGGCAGTCAAAGCATGAGCCTCAACCAAAACCTGGACGGGTGTTTTTGGTGCAAGGCTGCCCACCGTGTGTGACCCAAGTTGTTTGTCTATCTGTCTGTCTGCCTATCTACCTATCTACAGCCTATCTACCTATCTTCCTATCTACCTATCTGCCTACCTGCCTACCTGCCTACCTATCTACCTATTTACCTATCTATTTATCCATCAATCTATTTATTCATGTTGTTTGTCTTCTCTGTCTGTCTAATCCATCTATTCTTAATGTTTCTTTCTATATGTTTATCTACCAGACGTTGCGAAAGTAGACTAATGTCGCAAAAAGTCTGCGCGCGCCCGGGCCAATGGGCCCCGGCTTTGCAGGCACTCCCAGTTCGCTTCGAACGCGCTCCGAGATCGCTCCGACCGGGCGTCGCGATCAGGCTAACTTTCGAGCATCCGAAGAAATTAGTTTTTCAGACATATCTACTTCCCCGTCGCGCGCACACATTTGTTGCATGGGTGCTTATTCTTGTCTTGCCTTTTGTCAGAGAGCTAGCTTTCAGTTGGTTGCCGTGCCGCAAGACTCCTGTGCTAAAAACAGGTGTAGCCCGCTAGCTAGAAGGCACGCGCTTCTTTCCGAAACGGGGATCTCAATCTCTTTTCTTTTGTCTTCTTCTTTTCGGGATCCCGTATGTCAAGTTGCTGGGTGGCACCAGCACGATCCCAAAACGAGGTTTGGCATCGTTTGGCCCGCGCCAGGAAAGACCTTTGCCAAACCCAAGGACTGCCGGGACAGGGAAGGTGGCGTGCGCCCACCCGAATCCAGCTTCGTTGTGGCATCGCCAGCAACATCTGTAGACAATTTTTGCAGTGCCGCATTTAGTTCACTCTGGCTCGATTGCAGCAAATTGCTCTTGCATGTTGCATTTCTGTTGTCCCAAATGGGTACGGGTATTCATGGACAAGCGGTCGTTTTGGCTTTTCTTCATGTTCCGAATCCTGATCACTTTTTTCCGAAATGAAAGCCAATCAAGTCAAATCCTTGGAACTTTTGCACGGTTGCTCTCATACTTGCCGACATTGAATCAATCGGCGGATTTGATCTACCTGGTTTATTTGCGGCGAATGTGTGCCAAACATCACTTGGCGACAGGATTGAACACCCAAACTCAACATGCTTCGGCTTCGTTAGATTCCTTTTTGCTTCTATGGCATGCCTGGGGTTTGAACCGGCCTTCCCAGCCACGACCGGGATGTCAATCTCTTCCACCCGTGCCCTGTGCCTCCTGTTTGCGTGCCATTGTTTGTCTTGTTGTGTGGAAAGCATCCAACGAGATGGATTGCCGGGGCCTTGCTTTTCGGTCTTGCACATGCTGGTTTCCTTTCAAACATATCCACCGCACTTCCCCCTAAACACTTGCGAGGCTTCCCTTGGCACCCGCTCGCGGGTCAGGAGGTAGTTTCTGCACAAATTCTGAGCAGCGCACTTCGGGGTAGAATGAGGTCATCATGAAGACTGCCTCGCCTCATGGTTGCATGCTTATCTCCTTTCGGTTGAACCTCTTTTCGGTATGAAAAGGAGTGCCACCCTTTCCGGTCCAAAGCTTCATTTAACGCACCCCCAACCTGCTGCACCGCTGCCAGGGCCTTGGTCGACAGGCCCGCACCCCTGGGGCTTGAGCCCTAAAGGGGACGTGGGAAAGCTCGTTCCGTGTGGCGCCTTCTTCGCCCACGAGGAGACGGAAGTCTTGGACAAATGGAACCCTGGACGTGGGTGTGGTCCACCCAAAAACAGCTGGAAGGGTTTCCCTCCAGGTACCTACGAACGTCCAAAGTGGGGTCTGGGTGGTGCCAGTTGTGGTCAGGGATTTGGGGAGGGCGGCTGCGAGCCAGAGAACTGCCAAAAATGAGCCTCCCGGATGTTAGTTGACGTTCAAAAGCATTGATTGGACTAGTGGTTTCTGTTTGAACAAATTGGCGCGCCAAGAAGAAGCATGTTCCAGCTGGTTGGACCATGGCTTCAGGTTGGTCAGAACCTGTTGGATCCTTTCGCTGAAGCAAACACGTCCGTTGTGTTTTTTCGTTGTTTTTCCAGAGATTGGTGCTCCCAACCTGCATTCGCCCAGAGATCCCAAGCCTTTTCTTTACGCGCCAATTTCCGGAAATGACGCGATGATTGCAGTTCAATATGGGCTTGGCTTTTCCGATTTCTCCTGATTGTTATTGTCAGGCATTACAAACACCCAGTCGCAACATACTTGTTCTGCCCAGAGAATTAGGTTTGCAAATGGAGTTTTGTGCATTTCTCAGTTCAGGATTGCGCGGGTTGCAGCGCCGGAAAAGAAGCAAGCCTCCTCAAGTCCGGGCACCGGTTTCCCCTTGAACACCCCGACGAGTGGGTGTGAATTTAGGATCTTATGAATTTTTCAAAGCGAGAGGTGGCGTGCAGGAGGGATGTGGGCCAGACAGCCGCGTGTGGTCATGAGGTCAAATCATGTGACACTCCTTGTGGGTCTACTTTTCTGTTCTAAAACCAAGATGCAACCTGGAATTACTGGAGTACTGCACCCACATGAACCCCCCAGGTTGACTAGTTTGACGAGTCTCTTTCAGGGCCTCCAGTTTTCGGGCGTCCATCCGATGGCTTTGGGCTCCAACTGTTCGTAACGTCAACTTTGTGGTTTTGGTCTTGGGGCCGTGGGGTTTTCTCCACCCATGACAGCGCGCACGTTCGGATCCTTCGAGGCCCGCGAGGCCGCCTTGGAGCGTCTCCGGAAACGCTTCGAGGTGTTCCAGCAGCTGGGGGCCAGCGGGGGAGCCCAGGATTTTCAGACGCGGGCCGGTTCCTGTTGGGAGACTGCGCTCGTCGGGCCGTGTTAAGATTCTCGAAAGGCGTGAGAAGTACCATTCGGTTGGGGTCTCGAAACTGGATTGTTTTTGGCTCATCTTCGGCTCTTCCATTCATGTTCCCTCTGGCGAATGGGGAAAGGGCACCCTCCCTTTCGCCGAGAGTTGGGTCTTTGCTTTGTGGTTGCGGGTCTCGCCAGCCCACAGCTCTTTGGCAATGCGCAACCACTTTGGGTCATGGCCCTATCCAACGTCCCAGGCCCTTGGGAGCTTGATGTATAGAACACCTATCAAAGCTAGAGACCTCATGCAGGTGAGTTCCATCCTGGCCTCCACTCAACGATATCCTTTTTCTTTTAGCCAAGAAGAGGTGAGCCGGGATTGATGAACAAGACGGTTTTTGGAGTCACCGTTCTTTGGGGGCAAGGACAAGTGCCATGAACACTTATGCCGTCACCCAAAGACCATACAGATTGCACCCGAAGGCCGAAGAGCGCGTTGCTTGGGGTTGCCAGGCCCCACCGCTGCGGCGGCGGAGACCTTACGGGAGGCGGCTGGCTTGGCAGGAGCCTCGGGCTTCGGAGCCTCGGAGCCTCGGGGGTCGGGCGCCGGATGAACTGGAGGCTTACTTGGCGATTCCGGTCATAGGGATCTTCCCCATTGGCATTTTGCGGTGGCCAACTTGGTTTGACCGAAAGCCAGAGAGGAGTGTGAGGCGTTCCAAAGTTGAAAGGGAAGGTTTTAACCGGCCCCAAGGAGCAACATTATAACCTGCGTGAGGATAAGCACTTCCAGGGTCTTCGTTCAGTTTGTTGAACCCTTTTAGCGATTACGGGCTGAACAGGTTCCAGCCGGAAGCACGAGCTCGCGAGTGAAGCTCGTTTTTTTTTTTTAACCCACAAACCTGCTTTTCTTCTCCTTGAAGTATAGTTGAACATTTGACAAGTGCAGCCATGATCCATTTCGTCATAGGTCCTTTGGTGGGTTCCCAAAATGTGTCTCACTGGTTTGTGTTGAAACACGTTAAGTATCGAAACTTACGCCTGTGTACGTTGTAGGTGAGATCTTCCCGTGTTCAGCGGCGCAGTGGCCACCGAGGTAATGTTGACTCCTGAGTAACCCCCCTCCCAGCTGGCAGCTTCCTGTGGACATGTCGGAGTGTGTGAAGTTGTTCTGCACCTATACGCCCCGGGAGACAAAGAAAGAGACAACACGAATCCCTCGCCTCCCGCCCCGCCCCAGAAGTGAATCTTCTCTCAGCCAGGGGATCCGCTCTGCTTCCTCGGGTCTGAGCTCAGGCCCGGCCCAAAGCGGCCCCTCGGCTGCGGCCGCCGTCCTCGTGGGGCGGTTTCCAGGCGCGGAACCGGATGCGCGTCCGGCTCGGGGCATGAAGGCTCGCTGAAGACCCACAAAACGGGCAGGTTTCCATTGGTTGTCCATTGGTTGTCCATTGGTTTTCCATTGGTTTTCCATTGGGTTTCCTTTGGTGTTCCATTCGCCAAAGCTAGACACGGAGCCCTCACCCAAAACGAACACATCAACGAAAATCAGGTGAACCACGCTCAATCAGTTCGCTGATTCGAATGTGGCTGCCAAGTGGGAGTCCTCCCTCTCAGATTTTTTTCTTTTTAATCAAGCACGGCTCCTGCAAAAAAGGAGCACGCATGTGTATCCTTCTATCCGTCTGCAAATTTTTATGGCGAGCTAACCAGGTGGCAGAACGAACTCACCATCATGTAGGTCCTGTACTTGGCGGAACCCTGATTTCAGGTTTTGGCACTGTGAAGTTGGCAGATTGGAGCGCGCATCTTTTTCGGCAGGCTGCCAGCGAGCCGGTGCCTGCCTCAGGCTGAGTGAAGAAGCAGGCTGGTGCGGCAAGATAAACCCACGCATTACTCTTTGCAGTGCACACTTTTTTGGGGTTCAGCCGCAAGAGTGCATGTGCACAATCCAGCTTTTTGTTTGCTGCAGCTTGTTTTGAGTCAATCGCGACCAGTCCGCCAGTCCACCATGCCTCTTGGCGCGCGGCTGAATTCCTTGTGAGCGCTGCAGAGGTCGGAGACGATGTGAGCCAAGCGCCCTGCAGCGAGGCGCCAGTCGTGCTGTTGCTGGGTTGCGGGTGGCTTTAACGGGCTTTCGTCCCGTAGGATCTGTGAACACAAGCCACCCTGAACCATGGCTCGGATGGGGCTGACGGGTGCAGGAATCTTTCGAACTGTTTTCCGGCTGTTTTGTTCATGACGCAGGACGCAGCTTCGCTCCAGGGCGAGCCGGAGAAGGCGCCGTCTGCTTTCCGGAGTGCATGCCCTTGGTTAGTTCCCGGCCAGGTACTATATGAAGGTTTAAGTTGGGGAGCCGGCGTTGTGCTGTTGAGTTGCGCTAGGTTGCAACAAAAGCGTAGATGGAATATGGCTAAACGCTTGCGCAGCGGGTTGATGTCAAAGCGAATGAGGACCAGTCTGCCAGTCCCCGCTCCCTCTTGGCACTCAATGCCTTGACTTGTGAGCGCTGCGAAGGTCGGAGACGATGTGAGCCAAGCGCCCTGCAGCGAGGCGCCAGTCGTGCTCTTGCTGGGTTGCGGGTGGCTTTAACGGGCTTTCGTCCCGTAGGACCTGTGAACACAAGCCACCCTGAACCATGGCTGGGATGGGGCTGACGGGTGCAGGAATCTTTCAATCTTTCAAACTGTTTTGCGGCTGTTTTGTTCATGACACAGGACGCAGCTTCGCTCCGGGGTGAGCCGGAGAAGGTGCCGTCTGCTTTCCGGAGTGCATGCCCTTGGTTAGTTCCCGACCAGGTACTATATGAAGGTTTAAGTTGGGGAGCCGACGTTGTGCTGTTGAGTTGCGCTAGGTTGCAACAATAGCGAAGATGGAATAAGGCTAAGCGTTTGCGCAGCGGGTTGGTGTCAAAGCGAATGAGGACCAGTCTGCCAGTCCCCGCTCCCTCTTGGCACTGAATGCCTTGCGAGCGCTGCGAAGGTCGGAGACGATGTGAGCCAAGCGCCCTGCAGCGAGGCGCCAGTCGTGCTCTTGCTGGGTTGTGGGTGGCTTTAACGGGCTTTCGTCCCGTAGGATCTGCGAACACAAGCCACCCTGAACCATGGCTGGGATGGGGCTGACGGGTGCAGGAATCTTTCAAACTTTCAACCTGTTTTGCCGGCTGTTTTGTTCATAACACAGGACGCAGCTTCGCTCCGGGGTGAGCCGGAGAAGGTGCCGTCTGCTTTCCGGAGTGCATGCCCTTGGTTAGTTCCCGACCAGGTACTATATGAAGGTTTACGTTGGCGAGCCGACGTTGTGCTGTTGAGTTGCGCTAGGTTGCAACAATAGCGGAGATGGAATAAGGCTAAACGTTTGCGCAGCGGGTTGATGTCAAAGCGAATGAGGACCAGTCTGCCAGTCCCCCCTCCCTCTTGGCACTGAATGCCTTGTGAGCGCTGCGAAGGTCGGAGACGATGTGAGCCAAGCGCCCTGCAGCGAGGCGCCAGTCGTGCTGTTGCTGGGTTGCGGGTGGCTTTGACGGGCTTTCGTCCCGTAGGATCTGTGAACACAAGCCACCCTGAACCATGGCTCGGATGGGGCTGACGGGTGCAGGAATCTTTCAAACTGTTTTCCGGCTGTTTTGCGCAGGACGCAGCTTCGCTCCAGGGCGAGCCGGAGAAGGCGCTGTCTGCTTTCCGGAGTGCATGCCCTTGGTTAGTTCCCGGCCAGGTACTATATGAAGGTTTATCTCGGGGAGCCGACGTTGTGCTGTTGAGTTGCGCTAGGTTGCAACAAAAGCGTAGATGGAATATGACTAAACGCTTGCGCAGCGGGTTGATGTCAAAGCGAATGAGGACCAGTCTGCCAGTCCCCCTTTCCTCTTGGCACTCAATGCCTTGACTTGTGAGCGCTGCGAAGGTCGGAGACGATGTGAGCCAAGCGCCCTGCAGCGAGGCGCCAGTCGTGCTGTTGCTGGGTTGCAGGTGGCTTTAACGGGCTTTCGTCCCGTAGGACCTGCGAACACAAGCCACGTCTCAAGCATTTTTGAGTTTGCGCTCAGTTGCAAGGAAGGTGGTCCAGTCCTAAAGCGCTAAATACTCTTTTCAGGGTCGGAAGGTGAGATTTGAAGCACAAGAGGTTTGGGGAACGATCAGGGCTTCTGGATTCCTTCATTGCCTTCCTTGTGAACGCTTGCGGAGGTGTATCGGGAAATGAGGGTCTTCTGGCCAGAAAGACAATGAGCCTGTTGTGCAGGCCAAGAGTCAGCAAGCTTGTTTCAGTGGTCCAGGAGGAAATCCTTAGCCCTTCCCTTCCAGAGATGGGTCCCCTGGTTTCCAAAGTGGTCGAGGCTTCGGTTTTGAGGAGCCCAGCTCGCCCTGTGGTTTCGAGCGTTGGCCAGGAGATCCCGGCCACGCTCCTGGACACGGAGGCAGAGATTTCGGAGGCGGGCCAGGGTTCGAACTTCAGGGTTCCGTAGTGACGCCCATTGAAATGAGCCAGGGGTCAGCATTGATTAATTGACTGTTTGTCCAGTAGAGGTTTTTGAAGCATGAAAGGAGCGCATGAAACTGGTCAGGGCGCTCAACGAGCGCTGGAGGGAACCCTGATGCATACCCCAAGAGATCAGGACTTTAACTTGCCCTTGAGGCTTCGCATTGAACCCCAAGCCCCGTGGATCAGCAAGCCCACTTGCCCAAAACCAGCCCGAGCAACTCTTGTGCGGATCTGGGGCCAGTAAAATGCCAGGGCGGAGGTCTGAGGGCTCCTCTCAAATGCTGCTCCTGCCACGAAATCCAGCACTCACATGTCCAAAGTAGACCCCAACAATGAGTCTGGGTGAATTTAGCGATGTGAGGGCACATTTTTTGTCCATGTCTTATCTCAGATAGGTGAGCCATTATGATGGAAACGCTTCGCGCTGCCTGACAGGGCATGGGGCTAGACTGGAGGGCCCAAATGAATGGTGCCCTTCTGAGATCCTCTCAAACCACCCTCCTTAAAAAAATCAACACATCCATGTTGCATGGAATTTTTGTGGGTCGGACACTGAAGAAATGAGACAAGAGGCGCTTCAGCCGGCCGTGGCGTCGCAGGAGCTGCGCGCGCCGGAAGTCACCAATGAACCTGAAGCGGAGCCTTGGCTGGACAGCTGCCCGTTCCTTTTGTCAAGTCGTAGTATTGAGACGCCCGTACCCCCGAAACATTTCCTGGCACCAGAAGGTTCAAAGAACCCTGCTAAGAACCCCTTCTAGCATCTCGAAGAAGCTGTCCTGCGGGGTCGGGGGTCCTTTCATTTCACTTACGGGCAATTTCGTTTTTTTCCGAAGGTCTTTTCAACGCTTTTCGTGGTTGCTGAAATTGAAAGGGGAGCCAAAGGAACAACCGTTTTGGGGGACAAGCCCGCACGAAACGTGCAACATGATAGGAGCCCGGCTGATGGAAAGGCCCCTACTGTGCCTCGGACACGTCAATCAAGGTCGTTTTGCGGTTTGTGCTCCTCTCCCCATCCAACGGAAAATGTGCTTTGCCGGCCTTGTCTGCGCGAAGGCGCGCGCATGAACTGAGGAGAAGGGTGATGCGGAGAAGGGTTTGGCCCAGGCAAAACGTCGGGAGCTGAAAGATTGCTTCGGGGAGGGCTTGAGGAGCGGTTCTGGATGCCAGGTAACCAGGTATTAGGATACCCCCCAGAGCAGGTTCTCAGAACCCTTCGGGGGCTTTGCTTTGGTTCCTGAATTGAGACTTTGCCCCATCCATGTTTTTCAGCCCTGGGTAGTTTCTGAGACAGCGCAGAGGAAGCCACAGGCATGCCGAGTACACTGCGAAGCGCGGTAAGCTTTTGAGCTGAGCTCGTGCGTCAAGTAGTGCATGTTCCCCTCATGGTCATGGCTCGATTATGGTGTTGAAGGGCACCAAATCCCCAGTCTAGTTGGTTTTGTCTTGCCCCTACACTCCCCGAGAACGGCCCATGCTGTCGCCAAGAACAGTTTCTGCCAGCGTTGCCCCAGTTGCTGGGCTGGGAAGGGAGCCGGATACCAAAGATCGGCCTTGCCCGCCCGCCCGCCCTTCCGCCTGCCCGAGGCAAGCCAAGGTCCAGCAAGACCAAGAGCGAAAAGATGGAAAAACCCAAGGCGCAAGTTGCCTGACAGCTCCATTTCCAAGACGATATCTCAAGAGGTGAGTGATTGCTCAGCGTGGTTCTGCGGCAAGCTTCGGATGATTCAGGAGGACCATGTTTATCAGGGGTGGCTTTTAGTGGGGAAGTGATTCCTTGGTTTTTGGTTGTTTTTTCTGACTTGAAGAGTATGGTCTACAGAAGTCAGAAGTGTACCATACATCTGCACATGCAACGTGTAGATGGTAATCAGCTTCAGGTAGGGGCTATAGCAGTTCCATGTGAGGAGGGCACCTGTACAGTGCTCTTGCCATGTTGCAGACCTTGTCTTGTCGGGTTGCAATGGCTTTGCCGCTGGCAAGCTAAGCTGTGTGCATGTGTGTATGAGGTGTGTGTGTGTCTGTGCGTCTGTGTGTGTCTGTGTGTGTGTGTGTGTGTGTGTGTCTGTGTGTGTCTGTGTGTGTCTCTGTGTGTCTGTGTGTGTCTGCGTGTGTCTCTGTGTGTGTGTGTGTCTGTATGTGTCTGTGTGCTGTGTGTCTGTGTGTGTGTGTGTTTGTGTGTGTGTGTCTCTGTGTGTGGGTGTGTGTGTGTGTGTGTGTGTCTGTGTGTGTCTGTGTGTGTCTGTGTGTGTGTGTGTCTGTGTGTGTCTGTGTGTGTGTCTGTGTGTGTGTGTGGGTGGGTGTGTGTGTGTGTGTGTGTGTGTGTGTGTGTCTGTGTGTGTGTGTGTGTGGGTGTGCGTGTGCGTGTGTGGGTGCGTGTGCGGGTGCGGGTGCGTGTGCGTGGGCGTGCGCGTGCGCTTGCGCGTGTGCGTGTGCGTGTGCGTGTGCGCGCTCGCGCGCGCACGTGTGGGTGGGTGGGTGGGTGGGTGGGTGGGTGGGTGGGTGGGTGGGTGGGTGGGTGGGTGGGTGGGTGGGTGGGTGGGTGGGTGGGTGGTGTGTGTGGGTGCGCGTGCGTGCGTGCGTGCGTGCGTGCGTGCGTGCGTGCGTGCGTGCGTGCGTGCGTGCGTGCGTGCGTGCGTGCGTGCGTGCGTGCGTGCGTGCGTGCGTGCGTGCGTGCGTGCGTGCGTGCGTGCGTGCGTGCGTGCGTGCGTGCGTGCGTGCGTGCGTGCGTGCGTGCGTGCGTGTGTGTGTGTGTGTGTGTGTGTGTGTGTGTGTGTGTGTGTGTGTGTGTGTGTGTGTGTGTGTGTGGGTGCGTGCGTGCGTGCGTGCGTGCGTGCGTGCGTGCGTGCGTGCGTGCGTGCGTGCGTGCGTGCGTGTGCGTGTGTGGGTGCGGGTGCGGGTGCGGGTGCGGGTGCGGGTGCGGGTGCGGGTGCGTATGCGTGTGCGTGGGCGTGCGCGTGCGCGTGCGCTTACGCGTGTGCGTGTGCGCGCGCGAGCGACGCACGTGTGGGGGTGGGTGGGTGGGTGGGTGGGTGGGTGGGTGGGTGGGTGGGTGGGTGGGTGGGTGGGTGGGTGGGTGGTGGGTGGGTGGGTGGGTGGGTGGGTGGGTGGGTGGGTGGGTGGGTGGGTGGGTGGGTGGGTGGGTGGGTGGGTGGGTGGGTGGGTGGGTGGGTGGGTGGGTGTGTGGGTGTGTGTGTGTGGGTGCGTGTGCGGGTGCGGGTGCGGGTGCGTATGCGTGGGCGTGGGCGTGCGCGTGCGCTTGCGCGTGTGCGTGTGCGTGTGCGTGTGCGCGCTCGCGCGCGCACGTGTGGGTGGGTGGGTGGGTGGGTGTGTGTGTGTGTGTGTGTGTGTGTGTGGAGCTCGCGCGCGCGTGTGTGTTTAGTTTAGTTTTTTGTTTTGCAGGTGGCCTGGAGGAAGGCTGGCTTCTTGTTGCCAGCCTCCTGAAGACCACTATGGAGCCCAGCAAGGATTTGCTTTTGGGTTTTATCAATTCTGAACGAGCGATGGCCAGGCTAAGCCGCAAGTCAGGCGCACGAGTCGGCAGAGGATGCCGCCGCCTCCGCCTCAGGTTCATCCAATCACGAGCCACGCAGACCACCTCCCCAAAAAGGTGCCAAGAAAGCCTAGATAATTAATTATAATATTTTGGAAGGCCCCCTATATTAGTATGGTAGTGGTGTTGCGCAGAGCCAGCTTGCACGCTGCCAACTTGCACCAAGGCAACTTGCACAGAGTCAAAACCTATTCTGTATATCGAAACTGTAAAATCAAATTGTCGCGAAAATAGAAGTACCATGAAACCATTGCAGCGCACGCTCAACTGAGTTGCCTCTATCTTGGGCCGACAGTCGACTCCCCTCGGTAGCGTCCGAGATGGCGTGGGCATTTGGTGTTTTCTCTATCTCTCTCTCTCTGGTTTTGCGCATCGATTTCACGTTAGCAAGCCTGCGCAGCTTTCTTCTCAGGTCATCCACGCACAAGGTTCCTACGTCCACTCAAGCAAAGACGATCATTCCCGTCATCTATCTGCGTTATGAAAATTCAACTTAGACTCTTGGTCATCAGACGGGAAAGATTCGCTGAACTAGTTTGATCTTCTTCCTGCACATAGGGCATGGCCTCTTGGCCAAGCGTCCCGCGCATTGCGCACATGCGGCAAGGTGGCCGCGCGGCACAAAAACGGTCTCCGCGGGGGCGTCCATGCACACCACGCACTCAGGCGCCTTGGCCTGCTGCACCTGCATTCCGCTTCCCCCAGAATGAGCTACGTCCGTCGGCTCGTGCGCTGTAACCTTCTCAGCCTGCGACGCTGGCTCGGCTGGGGCAGCTGCTGCCTCCTTCTCTTCCGGCTTGCGCGGCTCGATCCTGTCACTTACGCCTGTGCTAAGAGAGCCTTCGCTAAGTATATACGGTTTTCCTGCGATGAGGACCAAGCGTGTCCAAACTGGGAGCCAAGTGCCCCCTAGCCCCCCTTCCAAGGATTCCCGGGTCATACTGAGGCCAAAGGGCATCCATTTTGGGATGTGGGTCCCAAATTGGGCGCCCAGCTTTGACACACGTGGATGTGTCAGGGCGAACTGGAATCGCGTTCTTCAAGTGCAATCAGAAAATCATTTTGTTTTCTTGGGAGTGGGGTTTGCCTGAGGCTGGATCATTGGAGAAACGAGCGCTGCGTCTACGAGCGAAAAGCGGGGCACAGGCCTTAGTCGCCTCCACTCTCAGAGCTGTGGGATTTTTTGTTGGTTATACCACAGAAGCCTCACCTCCCTCTAAGTAAAGACGTGGTCGGCACAAGTACTCCCCCGCCACACTTTTTCACAGTTGGAGAGTCCTCTCACACGATTTTCCCCGGGTTCATGTTATTCTGCAGGAGTAGGGGAAGAAGTGGTTGCAATCTCCGCACTGCCAAAGTTTGGATCCCAACAGCGTCGCCGGTTTGATTCCTGAGGTCTTGCGTTCCAACGGTGGCTGCCATCATGAAGTGCCACGACGCTACGAGGCTTGGGATTGAGGTCCACTGGCACAAGCCAAAGGCCCCGACGAAATTGTTTTGAGAACCTTCTCAGGGTTTGGGAGAACCTTTGGATGGGGTAGAGCTGCAATGTTCACCGGGCCTCAAGGCCGGGTTCACTGGGTCCCCTCAACATGGATCATTCCCAGGGGAGCGAGAACTGGCCGGACATAACGGCAAAGAAGGTCAAACATAGATATCCAGACCATCACCACACTCAGGGATATCGGGGAATATAAATGCTACGCAGGATAAAAGTCATATACCCATTGTGCCTTGTGGTAGTGCTTGCCTCTTGTTTCTGGCCTTTCATTCTAATGTTGGAAGGGCCGGCTCCACCCGTCTTGCCACGCATCGATCCCACTGGCATCAACCGCAGGACGCCAAAGAAGTTAGGAGAGGCGACTGGGAAGACACAGGTGCGGGCCGGGCACAGCTGGCAAGGGGTGTAGCCAGCATGGGGCAAAATTAGCTTACATAGGCAAAGCAAGCAACGGTTCTTTAGCTTACATAGGCAAGGCAAGCAGCGGCCCAACCGGATCCGGCATGTCGCGCATTTTCTGACACCGACAGGTGGACTCCAAGCGCAAGAGGAAGGCGCCGGAGATGGACCTGCCGCCGCCGCTTTCGGACCTCTCGCCCGCGCACCCGCCGCTTTCGCCTTCGCCGCCTGCGAAGGCCAAGGCCAAGGCTAAGGCCAAGGCCAAGGCGAAGGCTGCCGGGTCTCCGGGCTCCGGGCGAAAAAGCGGGAATCCACGACATACCCCGCGATGCGATGCGTCAAAGCCGGAGACACGCGGGAAGAGCTCGCCCCAAACCTCGCGGAGCTTCTGGGCCGAGGTTTGGCAACATCTTGCATTTTTTGGCCCCTGACGCAAATTGCATGACAGCCCCGCCACTTTTGGGGGCTTCCGCTGTTTGGAGTCAAGCCCAAAGTTATGACGGTAGACAGTAGGCACGAGTCTTAGTCCGAAAGAGCTGAATTTCAGGAATCGCGGTGGTTTCATGGAATGAGGGTTTAGGGTTTTGTCGCCCCATGTCCAAGGCAAGCTGGTTGGTGGTTTCATGGACCCAGGCTTTATCAGCTTCCCTCTTTTTGGCATTCGCTTTTCAGGCTTTGATCCCCGCAAAGAGCCCTGGCCCAGGCTTGATGGGTGCTTTGGATGCGGCGCGGCTGCGCAGCATTGCGCGCCCGCTGGCCCCTGCACCTGCCTAAGATACGCGTTTTGGCTGCCTGGCCCTGGGATCAGCATGGGGTCGGGTGCTCAAAAGGTTCGCCCCAACGTGGTGGTTTTTCAAATTTCCCTTGGAGCGCCATGGTCTTTTTGTTTTGTTGAAGCTGTCGACCCCCTTTGATTTTCAGGAACGCCCAAGGGACGACGCTGCTGAGGAGCTGGCGCCGTCGCTGAATGGCTTCCGGCGTGGCTGCCCATTGGTCGTCGATTTCTTGTGGAACAAGTCAGAAGCACCTTGGGTCCTTTCGACGAACCATGTGTTTACACGCGCATCCTTCTTATAACAAGGATTCCTTTCGATGGCAGAAGGCTCGCACGAATCACCGCAGCCGTGCTTCTGATGGGAAATCCTTGTTGAGGTGGTTTGGGACACCATTGCGACCCACCAAATGGTCCCTGCCAAGGGGCAAGCCTTCCTTGGCTCGCATGGCTGCCGACGCGGCGGCAGCGGCGGGCCCCTGAGATTTCCGGATCGGGTTCGAGCGGCTGGCCTCTTTTTGGCCATTTGAGCTGACCAACCGAGCCACTTTTGGGAATGTGGGGGGATTTGCAAGTGGAACCCGTTAGTTGGAAGCTTTCTGGGTTTTGACACTTTGGGCACCCCCTTGGTTTTTTTAGCTTCACCACAGGTATGTTTGAGAGACTGAGACAAAGTAACAAAGAAGCACCGATGATACGGAGATAACATGGAAACCCCGTTTCGAAGTAAGCCATGGCTTCCCTCGCTCAGGTTGGCAATGGCCCTGCGCAGGCCGGAGCAAAACTGACCCCCCCCAAACATGAACTCCTAAAACATGCAATTCCATGCCGAACAGTCTACTTGAACCCGTGGACGGAGGTTTTGCCGGCGAGTTGCAGGACGTATGCTGAGGTAGTGGCATGTTTTTTGGCTAGGAATTCCATTTGCCAGGGTGTGGTTCCAGTTTTGGGGGTACGCTTGAGTGCTTTCGAAGGGAAACCAAAGGGCAAACCGCAAGTTTTGCAGAGTGCCCCAGTTTTTCGTAAAGGCGCGTCGGCTGTAAACCGGTGGCTGGTCCAGGCCGGAGGTTTTTTAAGGTCTCTACCCGGAGACGCGACGGATGGGAGGCGGAGACAGCCTTCTCGAAGGCCATTCCGAAGGCCCAGTCGAGGCACAGTTCTGGTGGGTTGAGCTGGGTGTTTGGGAACATCCGTTCCATGGGGAAGCCGTTTCGGCAAAACTCTGCTGATGTGTGCGGAAAAGGCTTGGATGCGGTATGATGCAGTAGAACGCCCCATATGGCTGGTGTCTGAAAAGGGAAAACGGTTGCGAGTAGCAACCAGCTAGCAAGTCTCAGCAGTTTGACCGGGATTCGAAAGACGAAGCCGTTTTGCCCGTGAAGCACTCGGCGAGGAAGAGCAAGGGACATTGAGGCTGCCAGTTGCTGCCCCAGATGCCGATTCCAAAAAAGAGACGTTAGTTTGCACGGAACGAGATCAATTGCCGAAGATCGGCGACACTGCACCAATTCGTTTTGATGCTTGGGCGTGCTGGTCTGTCTGCATCGCGAAAGCAGGATCCAGAATTCGGCCAAACACAACGATTGCTTGCCAGTTGGGACGCGTCACCCACGCTATGGGAGCCAGCACGTATTTCTTTCAAGCTCCATGCAGGAGGGGCCTGGGACCTGTAGGGTAGGATCTCTGTGCGGGCGGAGATCTGGCGACAAAATGCATGCCAGCGGCGCGTGCCTTTTGTTTTTCTCGCTTGGGGTTTTGCGGAGATTTTGGACGGTTCGGTCGCTTGGCGAGGTTTTTTTTGGGCCTGGCCTTGCAAAGGTGGGGTTTGCTGCGAAGGCTGCTAAGGTGAGCTTCCTGGGTCCACGTTTTTCGGTTGGAGATCTGCCTGACGGCTCAACAGGCAGCCTAGCCTTTGGCGAAGGGAAGGCCCTGCTAGCCCTGGCGAGGCACAGCTGGCCGAGGCGGCCGAGGCGACCCGGCAGTTGCGATGCCCGTGTTTGGAGTTTCGAGTTGGGTGAGTTGGACAAACACGAGGCCGCTATGGCTCGCATCCCCGATGTGAATCACATGTGACCCTGGCCGCAAGAAGTGGCTACGATCCCACGTCCTGGAATGTGGAGATGCTTGTTTTGGGGACTTGGGTCGGCTGAGGCATAGCGTCAAGATTGACAACATCACATGCAATCAGGACGAAGTGATCGGGGTGAGGTGCTGAGAGGGGCAACCGACCTGGCGTTTACTTGTTTGCTTCTCCCTGGAAGCTGGAAGCATCTGATGGCTAGATTACTAACAATTCCTTGTGATCATGACTTGAATCGGTCTTGTAGTCCATCACAGCCCCATTCAATTACAAAACCCGTTGCAGTAGCTACAGAACAGTTTTCCAACTGAGGTCAAGGAGGAGCTTCGAGAGAAGTTCTCCAAGTTTGGAGAGATTGGCGATGCCGCTCGGTTAAATGTGCTTTGGCGCTTGTCGCCTGTGGGCAACTGCCACTTGCGCGCACGTGCGTTCAGCTTGGTAGCCGAGGTGTACATTCCCAGGGATCGCAACTTTGCATTCGTGAGGTTCTTCGAAAAGCGCCGGGGCCCAAGAAAGGCCTCAACACGATGCTCTCCTGCGGCTCGAGATGGAAGCCCAAGAAGGGTTTTTCCAAAAGGAGATTGAGAGTTAGAAGCTGGAACCGGTGGTTTGTTGGGCTCCATGTTAGTTAGCAATGTAGTTTTTGTATTTTCCAGTATTTCAGCCGTTGCCTGTAGCTACACAGGGACGGATTCATAAGTGAACCCGTAGTTGATAGAAAACAGTGTGTGTGTGTGTCTGTCATTGTAGAGCCCTCCGCTTGGGGGACCAAGCGCGCCATCATTTTGGAGATAAACACCCCTTGTTCATCCGGAAGTTTTTTTTTTGATCGCATGAAATTGAAAGTTTTGTTCTCGGGCATTCAGAGGGAAACCGCTCTAAGGGGATTTTGCTTCAAACCGCATATGCCTCTTCTCAGGTAATTTGGATGTTTGCTGTTGCTGTTGAGTGTTGACACTTTAGGTGGCCACGAATTAAATAGGACCCCCCCTCAAAAGTGGCTGGACATAACCCCCCCATGTAAATGATGTCCGCCAAAGGGTCCCCAAAAATAACATTCGCACCCGGCAGACATCAGAGGAATCTCGCTGTGAAAGTCTCAGGCGATGCTCAGGATGCCGTGGATGCTATGGCCCGCTGCTCGGGTGTCTTTTTGCTTTTTGCAGACTGGGGAAACGACAGAACCTGAGGGACCCTCCCACTCCGGGACCCCACCCTCATACTCTCTGACTCTTTTTGTTTTGGGGTTGTTTTGCCTCAAATTGAGCAGCCGCGTTGGGTGTTTTCTTCAGGACGGTAAAGACATCATGGGCCAAGAAGTCAGCGTGTCTTTGTCCATGCAGGCCGGCTTGGGGAAGGGGGGCCTCTGAGGGCTGCTGCTTCGCCTGGGGGATAGAAGGGAGATCCACGAAGGCCCTTGCCAAAATAATAAGTGCTGCCCTCGAAATCTAAACGTGGCAGGGAAACAAAAGCAACATTTCCAGGGTCCAGCGTCCACGTCGCTCCTTCCTCAAATGGACATAGCCAAAGGCATAGTTCTGGATTTGTCAATGCAACATTGGAGGAGGTATTGGATTATGCTTGCACTTCTGAATTTGCATGTGAAGTCGCAACTGAAGATCGGAACAAGCGATTCAAACTCTGAAGGGTCCCCTGATTTGACTGCAGTTGGGGCTGGCTCAGGGTTTGTTGGTGTAGTATTGGTTTGGCATTGTCCCCATTCTTGTTTGGGATTGCGAGGGTTTGGATTTGTGGTTCGCTGGTTGTTAACTAGGCTTCCTGCTCGTTTGGATCACGGCTCAAGGTATGCCACGACTTTGTGGGTTGGACAAAGCCACAGCTGTTAGGACATTGGGCCTTGTGAGCGGCAAGTGTCTCCAAGTGAACCAGGCTTGAAGTGAGAAAGGCATGGGGTTTTCCAGGTTGGTAAAAAATGACAGGGATCGGTTTGCCATGGGCATGTCATAGAAAAGGCATTCCAGATCCGAGCGAGGCAAAGAAGCCGCCGGAGGAGCAGCAGAGCTGAGTAGCCGTCGATTGAATCGAAGGGTATGGTATGGAGCCATACTCATGGAACCATACTCCCCAGACTAAACCCAAAAAAGGGGGTCCACCAAATAGGAGAGATTCCGCCGGATTTTCAGCTGGAGGGAGTATATGAGCCCACGACGATTTTGGTGGTGATGAATTGGCCGTACTTGACCCATACACCAGGGCTTCACATGGGTTTGTCTCTAAATAGCCAAATGGTAATCTTCTTTTTCGTTTCCTTTCACTTCTTTGTGGTTTTCCTTTAAGGCAGGCCAAAAAGGTACCCTTGAAGAAGGAAACGTACACACACACACACACATTTATGGGTTCGATTCAACACGTTGCCAGGAGTATCCCGACAAGGGCAGGGGCCATCGATCAGACCATCGATCGCGCCGCACTCCCGGTGCAGATTTCCGCAAAGCCCAAGGCAGAACTTGAAACCCAGTGGCTCATTTGCCGGAACATGAGGAAGCGCGCCCCCCCCCATGTTGGAAGACAACTTTTCTTGAAGAGTTGTGTGCGCGGAGGGAAGCTTTGGGGCGTTTTTTACTTGGGCTGGGGGGGGGTGTATTGGTGGGGTGGGGGGCTATGTGGTTCGGCCTGTGTGGGTCCACTTGCATTTGAGGAATCTCTTGGGATAGAAAGCGTTCCTGAAGCGAGGCTCACGCGGCCGCGGCCGCAGGGCCGACTCGAGATCGGAGCCGGGGCCGCCGGAAAGCCGATCCCGCTTGGGCAGTGAATGTCCGTGAGTGGAACGCACACAGGTTTCAAAGGGAAAGCCAAGGGGACAATTTGGAGGGCGCATCATGTTTGACAAGTTGTTTTTGAAGGGAAGCCAAAGGCAATGCAACTTTTTTGAGGGCTTCAATATGTGGAGACAAGCCCAAGGGCACAAAAACGGTGCAGTTTACGCGAGGTTTGGTTGACAGGAACTTCTGACATCCCCATTGGCACGTGCGCACGCTGTGTCAAGGTCATACTCGCCGCTGCCTCAGCTTTGAGCTTCGAGCTTGTGCGCACTTGGGCGCCTTAGGGGGGCAGTCTTCCAAGGGTATCGCACAGGAAATGGATCGCCATGTTGACACGATTGATCGCTTTGGAGTCGTGTTTGGCCCGATAGGTTGGAGGCTTCCAGGGTCTGATGGCCTTGGGTTACAATAGGCAGTAGATTGGTCAATGCCAACTGAGTCTCGTGACCTACGACTTAGGGTCTTTTGTTTTCTCGGCTTCTGGGTTTGCCCGGCGGCCTTAGTGGACCCCCAGGATTGAGTTCGAACTGAGGTCTCGCTCGCGCACGCGGGAACGCCGCCGGCGCAGAAGGCATAGGGGAAGGCAGTGGAGCTCCGCGAAAGCTCGGGCAAGCAACGGCCTGGAACGGATTGACGCTGGGTCCCTCAAAGTGGACATTTCGGGGGTTGAAGGGTTTGGAGGGCTTGAAGGGGTTGAAGGTGGGTAGTCGGGGTGTTACTGAAGGGGTGGTTTTTGCCTTCAAAGTGATATTCAGAGGGTAATCTTGAAGATGTCGCTCTGATGGACCCGGATATAACCGCCTGGTTGAATAAACAAAATGTGCCGATTTGGAGGGACCTTGTTCAATGCGGGGGGGGGGGGGGTTGCAGGTTGATTAGTCCGGGAACTTTCCTTTTGTCATTTTTGTGTTCATTTTCGTTGTGCCAAGAAAGGAGCAACTTTACTTCCAGATGCAAACGTCCGACCTCCATGTTTTACCTGCGTAGCCTCCTGCACGTTCACTCAATGACGAGGACATTTGAAGAATCTACAGCGAGACCGGGCAAACGAAGCTCACCCATGACAGACGACCGTTTGGGACTTTTAGTGGATTCCGCCTTGGGGAAGCCACTGGTTGGGCATCCAGTACGACAACTAGAAGCCGTAGGTTTGTTGTTTAGGAAGGAGGGCCGGAAACTCAAACCAGAAGCCAGAAACTTCAGAAACTTCAGAAACTTCTGAAACTTCTGAAACTTCACAAGCCAAAAGCCAAGTGCCAAATAACTCCCCCCCCTTCCGTGGAAAACCCCCGGGGCCCGGGCCGTCAATCAATAGTTGAAATTCCGAAGTGAAGGGACCCCGCAGAAACCCCCAGACACCCAGACTTCCGCAGGGGCCGCGGTGACTCCCGGAGCCGACACCGCCGCCGCCGCCGACGCTGAGATTCTAGAAGGCCCCGACCTAAGTGTCGAGCCGCGGCTCGCTTTTCCAGCATTCACCCCCTATGTTTGAGAAAACTTATCTTTCCTTGTGTTTCTTAACTGCTCGTTTTGTGGCTTGTTTTGATTTGGTTTTGTTTGCATGCTGGCCTTTTTGTTTTGCTGTGATTTCCGGCATTCTTTTGATGCAAGCTCACTTTCCGGGGAGGGAGGGCATGGCGAGTGTGCCGATCAAGCGCGCCTAGGAGCCTGAGCCGCGCATCCTCCGACCGGCTGCCAATGGAAGCTTTGCAGAGGCAAAGTGGGAGGCTCCCGGCTTTGACAAACAAAGCAGAAAACAAGAGCAAGAGGCAACCAAGTCAAGCAGAACAGGACATTAGAGGCATAAAAGAGAACAACAGTTTTGTGAAGAGTAGGACAGTAGGATGCTGGGCATTTTGGACAGCAGTTTTTCTATGCGTTGTTCGCCCAAGCGTTGATTGGCTGATTGGCCCATGCAGTGCGCTCCGGCACTGCTCAGCATGAGAAGGGAACTTATCAAATGGATGCCGCACCAATCTCGGTGAGAAAAGTGGAGCGCACGCGCAACTTGCAAGGCTTGGCATCACAGAAAGAGCGCGTTTCCACAACCATGTTTGCCAAAGTGTTCACAGTTTTTTTCAATATCGTTGAACATATCCTCCTTCCAACAATCTTGGAAGCTGACAGGAGGTTTCGGAACACTCCTTAGTTCCTTTTGGGGAACCGGAACCCTTCCATTATTTCTTGAAAGAGTGTACGAGGTCGTTCATGGTTTGCTGCGTACCTTTGATGCTTCAAGCCCGTGTGGGCTCTACGTAGCCCACTTCAGAGTAGACCACACGGATCAATTCAAAAGACACTTTTGTGTAGTGGTAGGTGCTTCTTTCAAGATGGCTCATGGCCAGGTGATGCATTGAGAAAATCGCGAAGCCCTTTGGGGACCTCACATCTGCCGCACAAACTTCACCCAGAGCCGTCGGTTTGTCCCAAACTGGCTTGTTTGAGGGTACCTGTTTTTGTGGTTTGAAGAGAGACCAACCACTTTGCTACTTTGCGCTTCCCCATGTTTGGGCGCCAAGCCTATATTTTCCATTTGGCCTTGAAGCCACAAAACCGGCACCCTCAGAACCCAAAGAGGGTCCCCTCAAAAATTTGGTTCCCCTCAAAAGTCTTGGCTTCCCTTTGGCCCACCCAAAAATGGGGGGGCACCCTCAAACCACCACAGCGATCCCCCGGTTTTGGCGTTCCCTCCCCTCCCCCCCCCCCCATGCGCCGGCCGCTGTTGCAGCGGCTGGGCGGCCTTCCGGAGGCCGTGGTCTTTCGGTTTGGATCGTTTGGAGGTTGAGATGGGAGCGCCGTTTTCCGTTTTTTTTGAGGGCTACCCCTTGCTTGGCGTTTTTCTTCAGATAGCTGAAAGCTATAGGGGTTCTAACTTCTATTCAAGAGGGGAAAGTGATTTGCAAGATTAATGGGCTGGTGCTACGGGGCGTGCAGTTTGGGGTGCTGGTGTAGGTGCTGATTGGGGTGCTGTTGGAGGTCCTGGTGATGGTGCGGGCGCATCTTTTCAAGATTGATGGTAGGGTGCTAGGGGGCATGCAGTTTGGGGTGCTTGTGCAGGTGCCGTTTTGGGGAGGTGCCGTTTTGGGGGGTGACGTTGCGCGCGTATTTTTGCATCTTGACGGTAAGATGCCGGGGGAAGGCAGCTTGGGGTGCCGGTGCTGATGGTGCTGCGGGGCGCAGTTTGTGGGGAGCTGTTTGAGGTGCTGGTGACGGTGCGGGCGCATTTTTGCGATATGACGCTCGGATGCTATTGGGCATGCAGATCACGGTGCAGGCGCATGTTGGCATCTTGACGGTAGGGTGCAAGGGGGGCATGGAGGTTAGGTGGTGGTTTGTATTTGGGTGCTGGTTGATTTTTCGCAAGATTGACGGCTGGGTGTCTTGGGAGGTGCTGTTTGGGGTGCTCTTCATGGTGATGGCGCGTGCGCATTTTTGCTCGATCGACGGCCGGGATTCGTGCGGGGCGTTCTTCGGGGGTGATTTTGAGGTGCTGGTGGGCAAGCACTGCTGTCTGGGGTCTATGCTGGCGTATTTCTTTTGGTGGGGGGGGGGAGCCGATAGGAGAACCAACATGATTTGGGGGGTTCCCCTAAGCGGGGGAGTCAGGGGGATTCATTGCAGCGTTGATCAAAAGATCTGCACTGGGATGACCATTGGGGAAAGCCACTACAGATAAAATATCATCACATTCTCACATGTGAAAAGTGAGCCATGGTCATTTGGGTGTGGCTCGAAAACAATAAACAGCTGGAGCAAACCGCAGGTTTTGGTCTTTGGTTCCATTTGCCAGGGTTCATTTGGGGTGCTTATGTTTGACCCACAGCCATATATGTTAAGCTATGTTTGAAGAACTAGGCCACGGTTGTAGAAAGCTAGGTTTCAGGTTGCCATGTTTTGTGAGCCCCTTCAAAATGACAATTGAATCAGAGGGATGGCCCACTTTGGCATCACAAGAGCGATTTCCCACCATGGTTTTCCACTGGCCACCGAGAGGACCAGGCGGATGGTCGACAAGGTTTGAGCATGTTAAACAGGTTGAATCACCCAACTCAGGCGCCTGCCCGCCGGGTCGAAAACCGAGGGCCTTGTCTTTTTTTGGTCAGTGACAGCTGGAGAAGGTTGGCCCTTCTGCGGAGAGGCCCATTTGTAGCATAAAAGGACCAGGATATTTTCTTTCGAGTTGTGCATGGAAACCTTGGAGCCCTGTGTGGTTCATCCCAGTATTCACAACGCTTTATCAATCTATGGATCCACTGTACGACTCTGGAACCCTGCACTGTAGGGGGCGTGTCGCAACTATGTCCCTTCTTAGGGCCTTCGTGCCGGCTTCAACCCTATCAAAGGGCATTCCAAACTTGTGCCAATACTTCTGACACCACGCCCTCCCCACCCCCCTCCCCACTCCCCTCCCTCCCCACATCCCCCACTCCCTCCCTCCCCACGTCCCCCCTCCCTCCCTCCCCCGGCCCCACCCGCGGCAGTTCGCGTCCCGGCCAGGGGACCTGCAGCCTGTCATGCCTGGAAGGCGGCGAGCTGGTGACCGGCGCCAAGTCTGGGGTGTCAGTCCAGCCCTTGGCCGGATTGAGGGGTTGGCCTGCGGCTGGCTTCTCTCGGTTTTAGATTGGTTTTGTTTAGGTGTTTCGTTGGTTTCCGTTGGTTTCCGTTGGTTTCTCTTCGGTTTCCGTTGGTTTCTCTTTGGTTTCCTTCGGTTTCCGTTGGTTTCTCTTCGGTTTCCTTCGATCTCTGCCTGCTATCTCTATCCTAAAGAAAGACACGTCCAGAAGGCTTGACTGGGCCTAGCTGGTCCCAACCAGACGGGCGCGACTGCGAGCAAATTGACCTGAGACGTGACCTTTGGGTTCCATCGTCAATCTGGGCGGGTTTTCAACGAGATTCCCGATTTATTCCGATTTCCTTAAGGACGTGGTCATTCTGCAACCCAGCCTTTCTGACCCATGGGAGTTGTCAAAATAGATCCCTTAGCATTTGTTCTGGTTTCACGCAGACATGTCCCGCGTTCTGTTTTGCAACATTTTGGAGCTTCCCTTTTCGCTGGCCCCGCTACAGGAACACGACGCACATGTCAGGAGCAGGGGCCTCGTTTGGAGACAAATCCATCTTTTTCTGGGGGCTCTTGGTGGACATACAGGTACGCCAAAAATGATGTTGATGTCCACTAAAGATCCCCGACCGAAATTCCCAGCCTGGTAGAAATTTCGCAGCGGTCCTTTGTCAATCTGGAAGGGGTACGGGGGACTCAAATGTCGGGCCTCCCGATTTTTGCCATGCCCTTTACAACCAAAGTCAATTTAGGGAATGTCTCCACAAATACGGGGTCCGTTTTTCGATGGCTTTCAAGGAAACCTCCCATTTTGAGGGCTCCCTTTGGAGAAACACTCATATGACCGTGGCGATTGCGCTTCACCCGTGAGGTTTCCGGAACCCAGGTCTTCGCTCGGAGCTCCGGGCTGAGCCTCATGGCGGAAGCAGACTGCGAGGCGCTGTTGATTCAGCAAACCATGCTTGACCTGGAGGTTTGCTGAGAACCCTAGGGATGGGTCAACCTATTTGAGGGCCAATGTCGTGGTCCCAGAAAACGCCTGAAAAGTTTGGGGGAGCACACCTGCTCTTCGAGATGGGGTGGAAACTTTGGGGCCCTTAGAGGAGGTTCGGACAGAGTTCAAGCCAAGGGCTCTCACAAGAATTTTGATGTGCGGCCAGGTGTCTTTGGAGTTCCCCTTAAGCAGAAGCCTTGACCGCAGGCAACATCACTTCAAAGAGGAAGCTGCGACCTGGGATCCCAAAACAACATGACTGGTTTGATGCAGGTCCCCTTGTTAAAGCCATGCCCAAAAACTGGCCCCTCAGTTTGCACGCAAGCATTGGCTTGTTTCCAAAAATTAGGAACCGCAAATGCGCCCCCTTCAAACCCTCCCAATTCCCAAGCTTCTTTGTAAGAATGCCCCCCGCACAAAGGAAGCTCACCCTAAAATTGCCAACCAACATGTGATGCTTCAACTGGCTCAGGGTGGAGATGTGTTCCTGAGAGCCCTGAAGTTGTGGGAGTTTCAAAGGGGTGCTTTTCCTCCCCCTGTAGCGCCCTTTTGTATGAATCAACCAGTGGTTGCTCCTGGGTTCCCATTTGGGAGCCCAAACAAAACATGAAAACAGATGACGGTTTTCCTTGCGGTTCCCATTTAAACCGACCTGGACCCTCCCAAAAAAGCACCCACCCATGTGGGGGACCTTGTGGGGCCACTACGCACGGCAGGCCACCTGCGTGGAGGGGCCCGGGCCTCAAGGATCCAGCGATTTTTCCGGTGATTCACCCCATGGGTTTTGTGGAGTGTGGTTGGTTTACTTTTTGTTTCGTGGTGTTTTTTTTTTGTTTTTTTTTTTAATTGGTATGTGGTTGATTTACCCCTTGTTTTTGTGGTTGGTTTTGTGTTGCACTTGTTTTAGGGCAACCGTATCGCCCTTGGAGGTATGCCAAAAAGGATTCGGAAAAGTATTTGTTCTAGCCAGTAGTGTTGAGCCAGAATTGGCAAGCTGCTGATTTGCATCTGTGTGTTTGCGACTGTGTGTCTCTGTTTGTGTGTGTGTGTGTGTGTGTCTGCGTGTGTCCGTTTCCTTTAAGAGGGGATCCGTTCCTTTTGGTGGAATCTCTCCTTTTCATCCCGCCCAATCCCAGGTTCCCACTCGGAGGTCGTTGGGCAGATAGGTGGCGCTTGCCGTTTGTTTCCATTGCGGAGTGCATCGCCGCTAAGTCTGGGGACGCAGACAGTTGCAGCGGGCGACCGCGCCGCTTCCTCAGCTGAAGGGTCACCTTTGGTTTCCTAAGTTTCCTTCAGTTGACTATTGCCAGACCTGGGGACGGAGGTTTCAGGAGAGGCAAGCTTGGAGCCCTCAGAGTGGTCAGCTTTGAAAGCGGTCAGTCCGGGCTCGTCTGCTTTCGTGGGCACCCTGTCCGGCCTTGTTTTGTTGGGTGCCATCTTTAAGGATATGTTACTGTTCCTTTTTTCTGGCATTTGTGTTTGGAGGGTACTACCCATTTGAATTTAAAAATTGCTTCTTGTTTGGAAAGGCCAATTGTGATGAGCCTCCCAGGGATTTGTGGGGAGCTGAGGCTGGCAGGGTGCGCGTCTGGCCCCGACCTCAGCTGGCTCCAAGCCTCTACGGTTGGGTGAAATGGTAAGTAGTTCCCTCCTCATTTTTGGTTCCCCCTCCCCAATTTTGGGTCATGGAATCAACGCCGAAGCCGGCTTGGGTACCTCAAGTGCGGGCTTTCCGGGCTTTTCTTTGGCAAAGGCTTCGGGTAGAACAGTTCCGGAGGCTTCCGGAGGTCGGAGGTGCATAGGGTGGAGGGTTCGAGAGGGTTGAGGGTTTCGGGGAGTTGAGGGTTTCAAAGGGTTCCGAAGGCTCCTGGACCAGGGTTCGGGGGATGCTGGGGCGGGCCTGGAGTGGAACAAGTGGCTTTTCGAGCTGTTTGGAGATGTGGGGCTTGCTTTTCTTGTTTTGGTTGTAGCTGTGGGCACCCCGCACCATGAATCAGCCGGAAATGCAGTCGTCTTTTGCCTTTTCCTGGCCCCAGCTTCGAACGCTAAACTCCAGGAACTCCCAGCGCTAGACCATATTAGGACCAAAGACCCGAATGAATTGCAATCTCGCCTGAGCAAACGTCACTGAAGTGCGATGACTACTCTTGTGATGCCTTCAGTTCTTTTGGGTGGTTCAGACCTGGCTTGGGCCTTGGAACATCTGTGCAAGAGGTTACCTCGGTTTTGCAGTTGGGATGGTCATGAGGTGTCAGAGCCAAGGCGCTAAGGTGGTGTGGCATTTTCGCCCTCGGATAAGCGTGGTACGCCGCCTTCCGGTGCAGGCATTTGCGGCGCAACAAGCTGCAAGAGGCAGGGGCTGTGAGGTGTTCGGAGCACCAGCGCGGTCGGTTGAGTCATTTGGTGTCAGGGTTGCTCTGGGCCTTTGGGTGACCAAAACCAAGAAGATTGGATTGGCACTTCCGGTGTCTGGTTCAAGGAACGTCAAAACCTACCTGCCGTGGATCCGGGCAAAAGAATCCTGAGCTGTGACCCTTGCAAAGTCGGGCACTTCTGGCTTTGCAAGAGGGGTTGGTGTTGTTCAAGATAAATTAGTTGGGTTCAAAGCCACAAATCGCAGATCCAAGCTACAATTGGGGGCAAGGCAAGGGTTGCTGCTCGTCCCTCTACGGGTGCAACTTTAGATTGCCCGTTGATGCATCCCCAACATGGAATCTAGCAATTGTTCAAAGGAGAATTCCAACGCCGAGTGAGAGTCGTCCTTCCTGGCTTTGGGGTCAAATAAGCTTTCTCGTTGGTAATGATGTTTGAAGGGGACATGAGGAACCTGGTTCACATCTTTGCGCTTCGGTGAAGGTTGCAAGTTTGCATACACATCCTGAAGTCGAAGTCCAAAAAGTTCGACTAAGATGGCTATGTGGCAAAAAAAGGCATGAGAGCGAATCAAGTTCGCGCATGTTGAGTAGATGAGCCACTTGCCGCATCTCATGGCATAAGTGCGGGATGCTCACTGGAATCTCTAGAGTTTGGATTCCCCATATGCGGGCCCACATTGAAAGAGTGCGGAAAGAGAAGGGGCGCAACAGATAGTATCCACTGGGGCGCTGCTGTTGCTGCTGTTGCTGTTGCTGCTGCTGCTGTTGTGGTTGTTGTTGTTGTTGTTGTTGTTGTTGTTGTTGTTGTTGTTGTTGTTGTTGTTGTTGTTGTTGTTGTTGTTGTTGTTGTTGTTGTTTGTTGTTGTTGTTGTTGTTGTTGTTGTTGTTGTTGTTGTTGTTGTTGTTGTTGTTGTTGTTGTTGTTGTTGTTGTTGTTGTTGTTGTTGTTGTTGTTGTTGTTGTTGTTGTTGTTGTTGTTGTTGTTGTTGTTGTTGTTGTTGTTGTTGTTGTTGTTGTTGTTGTTGTTGTTGTTGTTGTTGTTGTTGTTGTTGTTGTTGTTGTTGTTGTTGTTGTTGTTGTTGTTGTTGTTGTTGTTGTTGTTGTTGTTGTTGTGGTTGTGGTTGTGGTTGTGTTGTGTTGTGTTGTGTTGTGGTGTGGTTGTGGTTGTGTTGTTGTTGTTGTTGTTGTTGTTGTTGTTGTTGTTGTTGTTGTTGTTGTTGTTGTTGTTGTTGTTGTTGTGGTTGTGGTTGTGGTTGTGGTTGTGTTGTTGTGGTTGTGGTTGTGGTTGTGGTTGTGGTTGTGGTGTGGTTGTGGTTGTGGTTGTGGTTGTGGTTGTGGTTGTGGTTGTGGTTGTGGTTGTGGTTGTGGTTGTGGTTGTGGTTGTGTTTTGGTTGTGTTGTGGTTGTGGTTGTGGTTGTGGTTGTGGTTGTGGTTGTGGTTGTGGTTGTGGTTGTGGTTGTGGTTGTGGTTGTGGTTGTGGTTGTGGTTGTGGTTGTGGTTGTGGTTGTGGTTGTGGTTGTGGTTGTGGTTGTGGTTGTGGTTGTGGTTGTGGTTGTGTGGTTGTGGTTGTGGTTGTGGTTGTGGTTGTGGTTGTGGTTGTGGTTGTGGTTGTGGTTGTGGTTGTGGTTGTGGTTGTGTTTGTTGTTGTTGTTGTTGTTGTTGTTGTTGTTGTTGTGTTGTGTTGTGTTGTTGTTGTTGTTGTTGTTGTTGTTGTTGTTGTTGTTGTTGTTGTTGTTGTTGTTGTTGTTGTTGTTGTTGTTGTTGTTGTTGTTGTTGTTGTTGTTGTTGTTGTTGTTGTTGTTGTTGTTGTTGTTGTTGTTGTTGTTGTTGTTGTTGTTGTTGTTGTTGTTGTTGTTGTTGTTGTTTTGTTGTTGTTGTTGTTGTTGTTGTTGTTGTTGTTGTTGTTGTTGTTGTTGTTGTTGTTGTTGTTGTTGTTGTTGTTGTTGTTGTTGTTGTTGTTGTTGTTTCGTCGTCAACGCCGTCGTTGTTGTCGTCGTCATCCTCGTTTTTTTTGCTGTTGGTTTGTTTGGTATGTTTGGTTGTTGAAACTGTGGCTGCTGACCTCGGCTGTCTTTGTGCTGGCTCGTGGGCGATGGCCATCAGCGTCGGAGGTTCGAAGCGTCCAAGCTCATTTTGCCGCGGCCGGGATCCAAGCCGAGGTGGATGTTTACAAGACACGTGCGTGAGCCACATGGAAGGGCAAATGCCGATGATCGGTTGGGGCCGCGAGGAGGGCTGTTGTCCACGTGAGGCCAAGTTGCATTTTCCTGCGGGGTGGGGCATGGCAAAGGCAGAGCCGAGGCAATAGTTGTCGGAAATGATGTGAACGGCAGGCCGCTTGGAAGATCTTAGGGCAAGCCACAGAAATCAAACTCTTGCTGGCATGTCGGCCCCTGATACTTGAATCACGACCCATTGCACAGGGGGGTCCCTTTTCTTGGGGACCTCCCTGGTTAACAGCTGGCGGGTTCATTGGTGAACGTTATTGCCCACGTGCTGTTGCTTCAAAGAACTTTTGGCGGATGCCCTTGCATTGTACGACTTCTTTTCCCAGAGATGCTGGTCACCTACTAGTCTTTTGTTTGCGCAAAAAGCTCAAAAATCCGTGCTGGCCATGGCGCATTGTTTTTGCCACAAGGTCGGTAGCCGCAGCCCATGCGCCGAGGTGCGGGCACTGAGCAGTGGAGGGGACATTTTGCTCACTGCTTCGGAGGTGCGGGGCCTAGCTCCTTCGATATGCTTGGACAGGGTGTGGAGTATAGAGGCGGTCCGTGCACGTGCACGTGAGTATGGTGTGGGTAAGATTCTTTGAGCCAGTTGTTTTTTCGAGTGCATCAGTCCTGGCTGAAGCACTGGCGCCTGGCTTTTTGGTATTCGGCAGGACGGGACTGTGAAGCAACTTGACGTCCTTGCCAACTTTGTGCCGGGCGATTTCTTTGAGACAGGCGGGGTTGGGTGCTGCTTTGCATCTACTGAAGGCCTTCGAGCATGTTAGATGCCTTTCTGCTTTGGTGAACGCCCAGCTCACTTCAAGAGCTTGCAAAGCAAGAAGTCTTACAATTTCAAGCTCGCACAGCTGCGGCATTCCAAATGGTACAACTTTACAGGTCCTTTGAGCTGAAGCACAAATGTCAATTCATGGCAGAGACCACCTGATCGGTCAGGCGTGCCTGCAACGAGCGTGATGGCGCGGGGGAAGAATGTCCTCGTGGGCTGCCAGGACCCCCCTCCCTTCCCTCCAAAAAATCCGAAGCAACAGTATCTCAAAGGATTGCTTCAGACTCGTGTCATTCCCCTTCCATGCGGGTCCCCGAGCTGCAGAGCAGCGCGTCGCTCGTTGCCGCAGCTGTTTCATCCAAATGGCTGTGGGTCAAAACCAATGGGATCCCATTTTGGGGTAGGCGCACTGGCGCACCACCCATTTTAGTCTATTTTAGTGGGGATTGGGATGTTCACTGGATTTTGACCCATGGCCAAATTTTGGCATTTTGAGCCTGACGGAAGGCTGCAGAAGTTGAGAGTTTTGCATCTTGACACTCCTTCGACAGATTCTCGTTCTGGAGCATTCGCACCTGACAAGACCGAACCCTCACCCAAACCCTAACCCTAACCCCAAGGAGCAACTGAGTCAAATGGAAGGTTTCCAAGTACCGGTGAGTTTATCATGAGTTTTGGTTAAGCCGGCAGATCCCTGACCAAGCTCACCCAGTGTAGGTCCCTAGTTTCAGATTTTGGATTCAGTGAAACACCTGCAGAAGAGAGCAGGACACCTGACTGAGAGACTGGACTGGGTTGGACTGGGGGACCTTGGGCTTGGAGTGACTGGGAGACTGGAGTGGTTGGAGTGGAAGGAGACTGGAGCTGGGATGTCTCGGTTTTTCGTCGCGCTTTTCTGTCTCAGGACGGGGTGGTCTGGGAGCTCTCGCGGCGCCTGCGGCAGCCAGTGGTCCTGCGACGCCTGGAGCTGGGCAGCTGGGCTGATGTGTCGTTTCGAAGTCGAAAAGGCCGAGGGTTGGACCGGCCAAGAGGCAACCACTAGATCCCTTGAGTGGAGACCCCAAGAAGTAGATGTGGCGGGTTTGGGCTGGGTTTGTAGAAGAAGTTGGGCTTCTGTTTTGTTCATCATTTCTTCTCGAAGTTGTTGTTTCAACCAAGTCCAAAAGAGGCAGCCAGTCTGTTTTTTGGAGAAATAAATGGGGGGCATGGGCTCTTGACGCTTACTTTTTTCTGGGGTTTGCTTCGCGCTAAACAACGCCGGTTTTAGAGAAAAACTCTCCCGCATTGGACCCAAGCGACGGAATGTCTCCCTTCTTGAACCAAAAGCAACGTTTTTGCTAGGACCCCTCCCTTTTTAGGAACCGACAACATCCTTTGTCGAGGAATCTTTCCTTTTCTGGAGCAAAGCAACCTCATTTTCCAGAGGGACCTCCACCTTCGAAAAGCAACACCCTCCGTCATGTTTAGGCTATTTAGGTGAGAAATCAAGAGACGTTCTCCTTTCTTATTGGCGTGAGAGGTAGGGAAAGTGTGAATGAACCCAGCGATTCCCTGAAAGAAAAGCGGTTGGATGGCTTATAAGGGTCATTCCATTTCTCAATCCCTGCTAAGTTCTCATTTCCTGCTGCGGGTGGGCCAAAATCCCGTACCTCCAACCAACATCAAGCCTAAACTGGGTGTGCTGCACCGAAACCCCCGGATCCCAAAATGGGATCCCAAGATGGTCTCCTTTCTTTGGCGCCTGTGTCCGTGACCCGTTGCCCCCGTTGACCTGGGCCGGGGCTTCCGAAGCGCCCAGGCGCCCCGGTGCGGCTCTTGGATGCGGATCCGGAAGCTCCAGGCGAGCTCTGCCTGCTTTGTCGGGGGCCTTTTTGAGAAAAAGCACGGCAGGCGCAGGTGTCCTTCTTTTTTTTTAAAGGTCATCAATTTTCCCAAAAGGACACCTATGACTGCGGGTTTACGGCAGGGCTCCTTGGATAGAATTTGCGGTGAAGGCATGCCGCATCCTTTTCTGAGTCGTTTGTCAGTCTTCTTTCAGCGGGGTTTCGACTGTGCAGGTGCTCGGGTGCTCGCTGCTGGCAGTGGCCGGTTGGCCGTGTGGCTGGACATGCCAAAGAGCGTTGCGCCGCAAGATGCCGCACTCTCAGCGACTGCGCGCCTCGAGACGTCTTGGCCAAGCTCCCGGTTGTTGCCCCTGCAGTTGAGCTTGGAGGTCATTTGCATGCTTGAAGAATGAAGAAAGTCGGTACGAGCCATCAACAGTCGCAGAGTCGTGAAACGCGAGGTGCAGCCACCTGCTTTTGTTGGAGAACGTGGCCTGACGGAGGAAGCGGCCGGCTTCACAGTCGATCTTGGCTGGGAGGAGGCGGTTGAACTTTCATGCAGCATTGAGGCACTGCTGCTACCTGGAAAGGCGGAGGACGCTTGACAGACAGTTGCGGGTCAAAGGGGTGCAAGGTCCGTGTCCCAAAGCTCGGTTGCTGGGCCGTTTTGAGGGGTCCGGAGGACCTCCTTCTCATCCCGTGTGGTGCCAGAGCTTCTCATCATGCCTGGAGCCACGAGTCCGTGTCTCAGGGCGACTGTCCCGAGTGTCGGTTGCGGCTCGCTTTGCCCGTGAGGCTGGCAAGCGACAGCCTGGCATAATTGGAGCGGCGCGCGGCTGTTGGGTCCAAGTGGTGGGAACGCCAAGTTGGCTCCGCTTTGAGCATTGAATCCCACAATGGGGTCACATGGTTCTGATGTGAAGAGCCCCCCTCAAAAAGAATGCCAACGCAAAAAGTGTCCAAGAAGGGGGGTCACCAGTCAAACATCATTCCCTTACCGGGTTTGCGTCCCAATCGCGTATGGACGGCCAATCCTGTCCCCCTTGGGTTTCCGACGCAACGGGCACCGCGCTTCCAAGAAAACGGGCACGCCATGGCACGCCGCATGCCGCGCTAGGCGAAGGCCTGCTGTTGCCTGGTGCGCAGCGGGCCGACGTTTTTCTTCGTGGCCGACGTCTCGCGCGCCTGGGGCCCAAGTTGGAAGTG